AAATACAAAAAGGTATAATATCTGAGGTGATTTCGAATAAAACCACCTATTTTTTCGTGTTTAAATATATATATTTTTAATCAGTTTATAAGATCGAGATCACTACGGAAGTACACCTTGGTTGTTCAAGCGGTCCTAAACGCATTAGCGCGTAAAAAGTCATATCCAAAATAGTTGGTGAGGCCCAGTACAAATAAATTGGATGGAGACTAAACATGACCCGCAATTTGGCAAAGAATAACAAATAAGATCATGGCCACATACTTTGGAACATCCGATTAATGTTTTAACAATGCCGTCAAGTTCTGTGCAAGACCAAAATACGAGTTAATCTAACACGTTAGGGAAGTAAACTTGGTTATTTCACGCTGAAATGCGTACTAGCAATGCTTGGTGTCAGAAATTTTTAAAATCCACTGACCAGTCGACATCAGAGACTGCCAATGAGCCAAAAGCATTAGAACGTAAAAAGGTCGGTGAATCCATTAAAAAACATCTTGAGTGTCAGTCACAATTGTGCGTAATGAAAAAGCAGACAAACAGACCAGATAGGCAATGAATCTATAATTTTAATCGGGATAGCAAGATCAAACCTAGTCTCATCCGTATCAAAATGGGTTCTCACAAATCAAAATAAGAAATGGACGAACTCTAGAGGTGCCGGACATAGTAAACTCAAGGTTAGCCCTAACCACAACTGGCAACACATTGATACAGTTAGACAGGGTGAAACTCAAGGGAGTGATAAGTGCTTTATACTGGTCACTGACTTCTGAAAAAACACCGACACAACACGGATGAGGTGCAATGACCCCATTTCATGTTATGCAATGAAAAGGTTAAACTGACAAAAAGATCCTCGTATCAAGTCAGCCGAGTAACCTTGGAGCATTAGCAAATTAAAAAGATCATATGCGAAGCGAATCGAGACATACCCTAAGGTCGCAAGATAACCTGGAAAAGAGAATCGAAGATGACAATCAATATTCTATTACTTCCTAGAAGAAGGAGTCAATTGAACTGAACTAATGAACTAGGAAAAATACAGTAAACCGAATGACTGAAGTCCTTCGGAAATACCGAACTCCGCTTTCTAATATCGTCATGATCTATATAGATTATAGATTCTATATAGATTTACTATCAGTGTAAAAATATTATTTATAAAGTTTTGGCCTAGTGAGAAGCTACATGAGAGGTTTCATCATCTCCTCGGTCCGCCAGTCCTCGCTGTTTGTTTCATTAAGGCATTTTACCAATGTCAGTGTAACCATGAGAAATAATTAATTCAGTTAACATATTAGCGTCAAGATTTTGGAAATTTTTGTAAATCTGCACAGTTTTACGATTTTTGATCTACATATTTTTCTTGGACGTAGTGACTTGATCCGGCAGTCCTCGCTATGTTTCATTCAAGCATTTTACCATTTTCAGTGTGACTATAAACTTAATTAATTCATATATTCAATAATGTTATATTCGAGATTTGGAAATTTTTGTAAATCAACTCAGTTTTACGTTTTTCATTTCCAAATTTTTCTTGGATGTGGTGACTTGATCCGGTAGTCCGCGCTATGTTTCATGCAAGCATTTTACCATTTCAGTGTGGCTATAAACTTAATTAATTAACGTTTTCAATAATGTTATATTCGAGATTTGGAAAATTTTGTGAATCAGCTCAGTTTGCGATTTTTGATCTCTACAGATTTTTCTTGGATGTGATCACTTGGTCCGCCATTCCTCGCTATTTTTTCATTCAGGCAATTTACCATTTTCGGTGTGACTATAAATTTATTAATTAACGATTCAGTGATTTTATATTGTACATTTTGGAAATTTTTGTAAATCAACTCAGTTTTGCGTTTTTCATTTCCAAATTTTTCTTGGATGTGGTGACTTGGTCCGTCAGTCCTCGCTATTTGTTTCATTCAAGCATTATACCATTTCAGTGTGACTATAAACTTAATTAATTAACGTATTCAATAATGATATATTCGAGCTTTGGAAAATTTTGTGAATCAGCTCAGTTTGCGATTTTTGATCTCTACAGATTTTTCTTGGACGTGATCACTTTGTCCGCCATTCCTCGCTATTTTTTCATTCAGGGAATTTACCATTTTCGGTGTGACTATAAATTTATAAATTAACGATTCAGTGATTTTATATTGTACATTTGGGTAATTTTTGTAAATCAGCTCATTTCCAAATTTTTCTTGGATGTGGTGACTTGGTCCGTCAGTCCTCGCTATTTGTTTCATTCAAGCATTATACCATTTTCAGTGTGACTATAAACGTAATTAATTAAACGCTTCAATAATGTTATTCTAGATTTGGGAAATTTTTGTAAATCAGCTGTTTTGCGATTTTTGATCTCCATATTTTTCTTGGACGTGGTGACATGATCCGGCCGTCCTCGCTATGTTTCATTCAAGCATTATACCATTTTCAGTGTGACTATAAACTTAATTAATTAAACGCTTCAATAATATTATTCTAGATTTGGGAAATTTTTGTAAATCAGCTGTTTTGCGATTTTCGATCTCCATATTTTTCTTGGACGTGGTGACATGATCCGGCAGTCCTCGCTATATTTCATTCAAGCATATTACCATTTTCGGTGTAACAATTTATTAATTAACATATTCAATCCTTTTTGATTCTAGATTTGGGAAAATAGACGTCATGTATTATGCGTAATTTTACTTTATGTACTGCAATAATCGAAATGATTTGACTGTTTGAATGCAAGGCAGAGTCAAAATCATATCATCAATCGGTCAAAAGATAATTATACTAATTTATGTTTAATATTCAACAATCCATATCTTATTAAGTAAATGACATTTTGAGGTTATTTCTTATTTAAAATGTGTTTTTTTCCTTTTTTGATTGATGCGCCTATTATTAAAACTAGCCAGCCCCTGTGACCTATGGATCTCGCCCTAGAGATCTGTCCTACTACTAGAACCTTTGTTTGTGACAAAAAGTGTAAATTATGTCCCACGTGGAGGAAAAAAAAATTAATAGAACATTTTTATCCGAGACTACCCATACATCATCCTTTCTGGCACATTTTTCTTTTTAAATACGAAGCTAAACCAGTTTGTTAGAACTTGTTTGTGACCGGTAAGTTTTAATTTTCCGTTGTTAACAATTAGAAGTCTTACGCAGGTGTTATTCACGAGTGCGCGAGTTTCATTCCTCGAAGATTTCGCCCTGGAAATTCGTAAAAGGGCGGATTTTAATCGAGCTGGAGGCCCGGCTGGAGCTGGGTGGGACACATTCTTATCTTCTCGCTTTTGGGTCCCGCCGTTAGGTAATTCCAGAAGCCAGCGGCTTTGATTGATGATTCCCCACCTGCTACTGTGTTACCTGATGCCTCCGTCTCACAGACCGCTCCTCCCAGTCCAATTGAGAGATTACATTACATTTACTATCGAAATCCTCTTTCCTTCATTCATTTCTCAAAGATTTCTCTTTTATTGGACAATTACTATTTCGGTTTTATGAGGTAGATCTGCCATTAATTTAATCTTCGAGATCTCCTTTCAACTATGTAAATTTTCTTTTAGCCCATTATTCAGAAATCGTGAGATGCAATCTGGTGTGATGTAGGTTTCAGAAAAACATTTTCTTTATCGTGCTACGTTTCGATCTTTATTGAGATCATCTTCAGGGCTCAAAGTGTTTGTCTTCTGTGTAATTGTGCCATTCTTGCGTCGTGTTGAGAGTGGCACAATTACACAGAAGACAAACACTTTGAGCTCTGAAGATGATCTCAATAAAGATCGAAACGTTGGCACGATAAAGAAAATGTTTTTCTGAAACCTACATCACACCAGACCGCATCTCACGATTTCTGAATAATTATCGATTAACGGTCACTAATCACCACACATTTTTAGCCCATTATTCAATCAAAAAAGGAATTTTTAAAATATCATTATTATTCCAATTAATTAATCTTTTTACGTAAGATTTTGGTTGAAATGAAAAAGTTAGTGTCACGAGCGGGATTCGAACCCCAGCCGAAGGTCGTGGGTTCGAATCCCGCTCGTGACACTAACGTTTTCATTTCAATCAAAACCTTACCTAAAAAGGTTAATTAACTGAAGTAAGTAATTTGATCAATAGACCACTAAATATAATGGATTATTATTATTATTGTAATTGCTTTGCCGACTAAATTTTTGGTGATTTCTGATGATTTTGGAATTTTCTGGATTTGTGATTCGGCATTCAATATTGGAAAGGAAGATATTATTTAGGACGATAACGAAGAAAAGGGAAATATAATGATATTATAATTTAGCCAGGCCCTGAAGATGACCCGAATAAAGGTCGAAAAGTAGACAAAAAATGAATATGGTGTTTTTCGAACCTACCTCATTCTTGACCGCTCCCCACGAATTCAACAAATTAATTTCTATGGAATGGTCATTGTAGTGATGCCAAAGGTCGTGGGTTCGAATCCCGCTCGTGACACTAACTTTTTCATTTCAACCAAAACCTTACTTAAAAAGGTAAATTGAAAGAAGTAATTTGGTATAGACCACTAAATATAATGGATTATTATTATTGTAAGTGCTTTGCCGACTAAATTTGTGATGATTTCTGATGCTTTTGTTCTGCATTCATCATCCTTCTGTTAAATTTTACTTCTTTTTAAAAATCTAATTGTGCAAATTCATAATTGTTATTAGAAGTTATATATAATTTTAGTCATCGTGGGGATCAAGGCACGATAACTCAAGTGGTTAGAGCAGCGGCGTATTCAGCAGGTCGAGGGTTCGAATCCCGCTCGTGACAATTTTTCATCTCAACTACATTACCTTACATAATAATAATAATTTACCGAAATAATAGATATGGTCAATTAGACCACTAAACAAAAATGAAATTATTAATAATACTTAATACGATATACTAATATGTTAATAAATCGTTCCATCCCACGCTCAAATGCGATCTTATCTTGGTTAATTTTTTTTCTGTTTTAGGTTATCGACATCGACCCGTTTTGGTCGCCCAGTACGGAAGAAGAGTATCTCCACTACGGCGAAAAGGCGGACACGGAGAACAAAGCAAGGCAGTACATGAACTCCGTGAGAAGAAGGAAAGGGCTCTCGGTTGAAGAGAAGATAGTGCAGCACGCTGAAAAACAACGGACCCTGTCGAAAAAGAAATAAATATTTTTTATAATCTGATATCGCCTTTTTTGTTACTTACCCCATAAGAAATAAGTTCAAAAGCAGTGCAGTCCCGATTTAGAAACAGAAAAGATCTTAATCAACATCCTTTTATCTAAATATGTGGTCAATTTGCTTACATAAATGATCGAAAACTAACAAACTACAGGTTCAACACCCCGCAGATTCCGTGGAAGAATCTTCAGATTAATTTATAATTTGTTGAAGTCGTCAGGAGCGGTCAAGAAGGAGGTAGTTCAGAAAAACACCTTTTTCATTTTTCCCCGCGTTTCTACCTTTATTCGGGTCATCTTCAGTGCCTGGGTAAATCACAACAGATATGTTGATTGGAAAAAGTACAATTTAAGATGTAAATATAAATTTTGAACCAAGTATTTCATGCTCACATAAAGTCTGGTTCTATTCTTGTAGTGTCATATTGGTTTTGTGTGAAAATGTGAAACGTGAATTTGTATTCTGCTCTTTTTATACAATTACGACAGGGTGGGGGACGCAGTAAATCTGGAAAATTTTCTTTGATCATAGGCGGTTTTATTTAATTCGGAGGAAGTCGAGAATGGGAATTTTTTGGATTTATGATTCGGCATTCAATATTGGAAAGGAAATTAATTATTTAGGACGATAACGGAGAAAAGGGAAATATAATGATATTGTAATTTACCCAGGCCGTGAAGATGACCCGAATAAAGGTCGAAACGTCAAAAATTGAAAAAAGATGTTTCTCTAAACTACCTCATTCTTGACCGCTCCGCACGAATTCAACAAAATAATATGTACGGGAAGGTTATTCTACTGATGTCTGTTCTACAAAAGTGGTTAAGCCTAGAAATATCATTTTTCAAATTTGTCGTCAGTCGGGCTGTAGCTTTTTTCGTCAAATTAACCGTTTTTAACATCAAATGATTTTTTTTAAATTACAAATTAACCCTTTTTAATTTCAACTTAACCAATTTTTATTTCAAATTAACGCTTTACTTGCGTTGTAATTTTGGGTTTTTAAATCATTTTTCTATCATGTTTTATAACTGTATGTAAATATCTGTGGAAGTCTTTTGCTAGGTAGCGTGAAAATCATTAAGGACGATAACGAAGGAAAGGGCAATATAATAATATTGTAATTTACCCAGGTTCTGAAGATGACAAGGTCGAAACGTCGGCAAAAAAATGAATAAGGTGTTTTTCTAAACCGCTACACACGACATTATTAATTTTAAAAAATTATTTTACCTGAACATAGGGGATTTTAACATAAAGGTGTTTTAAGATGTTTAAGGTTGCCTGGATATGATTCGGGTTAGAAGGCAAAATTTGCGTTGTGTAATCCATTAGTATTGATGGTGGTGGGATATGTAGGAAAGTTAGCATTTAAATGGTATACAGACCAGCAGACCACTCGCATTCAATTATTTAAAATTAGTTCATATGACTATGAAAACAAATATTAAATTGGCGTACTTAACTTTAATTCCAAAATCAGGAGCACAAAAATCAAATTGGACAGAACGGAATCAATAGGTATATAAAACTCAAGCCATATTCCAAAGTAATAATTTTAACATTAATGATTAATGAATTAATGGTAAGAATGAGGTTTTAGTCTCCAAAATTTGGATATGCTACGTTTAAGTTTATAGCTGGAGACGGATGTCGGGCTCAGCATCTAGACAGCTTCGGTATTTAGTTTTGCTGGCTGTATAGACAGAAAATCCGGATTCGCTAGGTAAGTTGTGGCAAATGAAAGAATACAGTTTTCTTTTTCAATGAGCGGTTGAAATATTTTGTTTTCCAGACGGATTCGAAAATGGGGTATCGGACTCGAAGGAATGTGGAGTCTAAAGTAATGTCTATCAAATTTTCATATTCACTTGAAGACTGGTTATCTTTGTCGAAATTGAAAATGGTTTGATGGCCCTATTCATTTTCATGAAAATATCCGACAAAAAACGACAATATACATTGCCGTTTTTCAGCATTGAAAACGTTGACTAATTTGAGATTGTGGTCCACCAACAAGAGAAGACTTCAGACCGGAATTACCTTAATCGAGTGACGTCACTTCACTCACTTCTGTATGGAAAAGCAGAGGATGATGAAGTCTTCCCTTATCGTCAAATAGTATTATGAAAATCTTGACTTCATGGCCGCGACTCGATATAATTAATAAATTTGAACTTACTCCAAAACTTTCTTAATAGAAGCTGGCATTTATTTCATACCTCAGCATGTCTGTGGAGAACACATGCTGCTGCAAAATAAAAAAAAAACTTTCGTTTTCACTCAGTTTGTTAATTTTATTTCTTTATTCTACGTTTATTTTTGTAAAAATTAATTTCTCGAAGTTCCCACCGGATCAAAGTTTGAGAAGCCAGGATACAGGATGGGACCAAGAATGTTCCCTTGTGGGACGCCGGCTTGTATCCGTCTAATATCTAAGTATTCGTTGCCGCACCTTACTCTGAAGCGGCCGTCAGGCAATAACTTTATAAAGGATGCCTGGGTGCCATACCGTATCAAAAGCTTAAGCCACCTCCAGGAACGCACTCAAGCAATACTTTTTGTTCTAAATAGCGGACGAAATGGCGTCGACGACACTGAAACCTTAGATCGTGGAATATGGTGACGGAAGCCGAATTGATTAGAAGGAATGATCCTGAATTAGGAGGAATGTAGGAAAAAGTTTTTCGGGAATTTTGGACATAGAGGAGGAAAACTGATAGTTCTGTTGACAGATATACGGTTGAGATTCCACGTCAGTGTAATATCTAAGTATAGTCCTAAGTATCTGGCTTGAGTGGAAGTCTGTAGCTGTTTATTGTTGATGTACAATACAGAGCAAAACTGTTTTTTCAACTTATACATTTTTCCTCAATCAGACTGTCCTCCAAGTATGCACCAGGCTTTGATAAGATGGTGGTCTAGGATGTTAGAGATTGCTTGGATAAGATTTCGGATAGAAGACAGAATTGCAGTGTCATCTGGATGGTAATGATGATGTTAGAAAAGCACTGTAAATGGTACACAATACAGGACCAAGAATGCTCCCTTGTGGTACTCCGGCTTGTAACGTTTTGATCTCTAAGAAGCTATTTTAAATTTAACCTGTAATTAACAGATATAACTTTTCATCTTATGGCGATTTAACCCAATGAAGTTAAATAGAAGTAATTAGGCTTAAGATAAGAAAAATAATGGTAAGGAAATCCATTGTAAATCAGATGTGATTACATAAGTCCCACTGGTGTTACCTATTTATTTAGCTAAATGCCAGACTTTATGCAGTTTCAGATAGTAGAATGGTGCGAGTTTTAAAAATTATTGTGTAGAAAATTTGATCCCTGAATAAAAAAAAAAAAATCAGTGGAACTAAGGGTTTTAGCATAACGTTTTATGTTAACATTCAGTAGTTCGTTGTTGAACATGTATCCAGTTCTTGCGTTTATGAAAGAAGTTATACATATGTTTAAAAGATAAAGTTTAAACAAAGTTCAAACTCTATAAATCGAGGAGTGTGTTTCTTAGGAGTAGATTATGCCATGGATATGCTCTTCAAAGGCGAAGGAATGTTTCACAATCTTTTAATAACACGTAGAGTCGATCGTGAATGGGGATGAATAGAGCGTGTGAGCTCCTCCCTTTTATAAGCATTTCAAAAGGCTTTATTTAGGTCAGAGGAAGACCAAGACAGGAAAGGTTTAAGGGTCGCTAATAGGCTATGCAACATGACCTAGTCCTTTCGTTATCCCACACTCCGGCCTTTCACGTCTTTGCGTATTCCATCCTTTCCCTTCGCAAGGGCGAGGAAATAGATCATACATAATTACAAAGAGCATCGCCACCGGTCTGTAATTATCAAACCGTGATTTCCGGCTTAACGGAAAACTCGCCTCATTCAACAGCTGAGGTATTGAAGGGACCGGCTCTTATAGACCATTAACTTCAGAAAGGTGGGTAGATTAAAAATCAAATCCTTAAAACAGAAAGAACACGAAGAAGGATTTTTTTTCATTTATTGTTAAATGCTTTTGCAACTCTGTAATAGTTAGGGCGAAATAGAAAAGAAACTTTTACTGTTGACCGTTCAAAAAAGTATGCTTCATCTTTAACGAGGGGCCGTTCTTCCATCTCCTAGTTTCGACACCTCTTCTCATGGCGACATTCTTCAAAACGAACCCACTTTCTATAGTTTTACTGCATGTTTTATTTTTTCTGTGCATACTATTTTAGAAAAATCATTCTGGATTTTTGAATTTTATTCTTATTCTCGTATTTAGCCGAAGGTCGTGGGTTCGAATGACACTGACTTTTTATCTCAACCAATACCTTAAATAAAGATTAATTAATTGAAAGAAGTTATTTGGTCAATCGATTTGGATAGTTTTTGGACCACGAAATATTATAGATTTAATAAGTAAAACGAAGTACATTTTCAGTAAAGCTCTCCGTGGCCATTTCATACGGCGCCGAGAATCGAATCCTGATTGCACGATATTTGAAAAATGGCAAAAAGGAGGGAAAATTCCAAAGGTGGGTTGAGAATGGAAGTTGGTGTTCGAGTGGATTGAAGTCACGATAGTTCAAGTGGTAGAGCAGCGTCGTATTTAGCCGAAAGTCGTGGGTTCGAATCCCGCTCTTGACACTGACTTTTTTATTTAAACGAATACCTTAAATAAAGATTAATTAATTGAAAGAAGTTATTTGGTCAATCGGACCACGAAATATAATGGACATATTCTTAAATTGTTAAACTTCCTATAATTACATGGTATAGTAAACTATTTCTTTACAAAGGATTTTATTTTCAAAGCTGACCTGTTTTAATTACAATAAAATTTTATATTAAGCAGTGAAAACGGGGCGTCGATACGGCGAATCACCACTGTAAAGGTCCTGGGTTCAAATCTCAGCGAATCTCAGAATTCGATCCCTAGAGGACTTACACATTTACTTTTTTTTCTTCAAAACCATCGAAACCCCTAGCTTTGGATCCCCCAAACGTT